TCAGATCCCCTGGAGTAAAATTCCTGGCAACTGTGAGACACCCAGTGCAGGTGCTGGAAATCAAACTTGGGTCCTCCACAAGAACAAAAAAAAATGCCCTTGAATACTCAACCGTCTTTCCAGTCCTAATATTTTTAAATGTATCAGTTTAAAAATGAACCCAGAGGCTGGGGTGAAATTAAATATTGAGGCACAGGCTTTATATATGGAAAACCCAGAATTGAAAATCAAAAATCTCATTAATTAATTGGTTTTTAATGATGGTCTTTTCATAAACCTGGCCCTGGGTTACCTGGAAAAAGACTTTCTAGGTCTCATAAAAAGAGTCAAGCACATGTTACTGGAGGTTTAAAGAGAAGCATAAAACAACAGGACTATAGGAAATGGTGTGGGAAGAGATAATGCGGATAAAGGAAGATTAAATCAATAATGTTCCAAAAGCACTAACTATAAAAGAAGCGATTAGAACTGGGAAATGCAGTCTACTAAGAGAGAAGGAAAATCAATTTACAAATAGAAAATATGTGTCATACACAGATGTAGTTTAAGCAATTATGGGATTCAGAATCTACAAAGACCTACTATAAGCAAAGGCAATTGCACAGGTCCATCACACACAAGGGAGTCCTGTGGTCAACGAGCACATGAGGATGGACTATACTCCACCAGTCAGTAAGAAGTTGTATATTAAACCACAATGAACCATCATCGGGCACCACATTGACTAGAATGTTTAAACTTAAAAAGGTTGGCAGTACCAAGCTTTGTTATGTGTGACAGTTGGAAAACTCATATATGTTTAAGTAAAATATGGTTCAATAGATTCACACAGTGGGATAACACTTGGCTTCTTTTAAACACTGAGTATTTATATACACTTACATAGGAAGAAATCCCATTCATGTTTTAATTGAAAGGGATAAAAGGAAAAATGCTATGCTTCTCATATGTAGTTTATGACAGGAAAAGATACAAATGCATAAATATTTATAAACATTAATATACTTTAATAATAAGATAATATTAGTAGCAGCTTCTTTAAAGAATTATGTTAAGGATAAGGGATGATTTTGTATCTTATAGTATTTAAATTTACCATATTTGAGGATTTTCTTATACTTATTTATGTACACAGCATAAACACACACACACACACACACACACACACACACACACACACACACACACACACACACACACAACCTACTCACCCCAGAGAGGCAACCCATTCAGACCAAAGTAACAACTGCATTGAAGTCTAACTTGGTGAACCAATTAGTTTTTATTGGGGTTACTAACAGGGACATTGGGGTGACTTACAGGAGCAGGGATGACTCCAACATGACTGTATCACAGAAAAGCCCAACCCAGTCTGACATCATGAAATTTGCAATTCCTGGAGCTCTCTGGCTTGCAGCAACTAAGAAAATCAGAGATGCTCAGGCATCTTGATGGACCAGTCTCACTCCATCTTAAGGTTGAAAGCCATCTTATTACAAGGTCAAAGTAAGATCATTCCTGTATTCTGTAAAAATCGTCTGAGCATGACTTGACTCATTTTCTGGAATTTGACATGTTCTACAGCCTATGGAATTTGACTCACTGTATAACTCTACCAATAAGTTATTCTGCCCAATGATTTCTATCCAATTCTTATGCAACCAAAATTCCTCTGGAAATTCCCCCAACCCATGTAAACTCTCAATCCTTGCAGTTTTCATGATGAAATCCCCCACTTTCCCCATGTTTGGAAATGTCCTCTCAAATCCCACAGTTAAGGAGAGGCAGTTGCTAGATTGGCTATATTGTTAAAATATAACAAAGCTTGCTATAAACTTGACTAACTTGGGTAATGGTCTTCACTCTTGTTTCGTGGGATTAGCTATCTTCTCTAGTCACTCAGCTGGTCAGTCTCCTCCTCTGGAAGTGTTCACTGACTCTTGCAAGTTTGGCTTTCCAAGAAGGGTGTCTACTTCTTGAGTGTGTGAGCACTGTTCCCTTCTGAAGGGAATGTTTCAGTTCCTTGCAAATGGCTCTACAACACTCCTCCCTACCCTGGTTAAGACAGAGCCTTTGCCTTCTTCACTGAGGACATGCCGCCAAACTTTCTTTCTCCAATATTAGCATACCAAGGATAAGGATATACCAGAGAAGGAAATAGATTGGTTCACTGAGAGTCAGTGTGCCAAGGAGGTTGATTTGTAAATGATAGAGGCTCCAAATTATTAGTAATTACACTTTGTTTTAGTTTTATCAACATTTTCTTATCCTTCCATCTATGCACAGATCATCCTGACCGACTCAGCCAGATATGAAGTCTTAATGTGTTTCCAGGCTCAAAGCCAGAGTGCTTCTAGAACGAAAATCTCTTAACTCAATGAATGGTCTGGCTACCTCTTAAGTGCAAGTAGCTGTCTTCCTTACTTTTAAGGGCATGTACACCGCTCTCTCAGCTTGTGAGTTGACTTGCACAGGGGCTCCTGTTCTGAGAGCAGAGCAGCAGAAGCAAAGGCCCTTCCTAAACCAAAAGGGTTTCTGACAGTTCCCAGGGAATCGCCATTCAGCAACCTGATGACTCAGCAAACTGACTTCCAGCAAATTAACTCCTTGTGAGTTGACTGTCAGAAAATTAGCCATTCAATAAATTAGTTTTCATTGAACTGACCTAGATTCATGTACAACCTAAATTCTCAAGTAATAATTTAATCAGAATATTAAATGAGAGCCAAGAATCCCATTTTATTATACTCTAAAAAGCTAAGATTCACTAGATATTAATCACTGTGTATCAAATATTCTCTCTTCCTCTCCCTCTCTCCCTCTCTCCCTCTCTCTCTCTCTCTCTCTCCCTCCCTCTCTCTCTCTCTCTCTCTCTCTCTCTCTCTCTCTCTCTCTCTCTCCCCTCCCTCTCTCCCTCCCCTCTCTCTCTCCCAAAGCATGCAGCTGCTACACTACAGCAGCCAGAATCAGTTCACAATGACCCAGAAGTCCTCAGAGAAGGGAGGTAAAGAAGATGGAATGAGGCCACTTGGCACCTTGCCACCCGGAAACAGGAGCGTACAGAAGCCTGAGTATACTCAAGGTGGTTGCTGGAAAAAAAGAAAATCTCTTAGCTTCGAGCCAAGTTTAGTGGTTTGAAGAGTCAACACCAAGCCCTTAACAAGCATAGGCACTATCCTAAATCAACTCTAAAACATGAGAACACTCACACACCACATCCAAACCCAAGGACGCACCAGGTCTTTATGAAACAGCATGATATCAACACGCAACCAGACACGAGCTTCTGGATACTTTATCTTATCTCTAATACAACATGAAGGCTATGTTAGCTGCTACAGTTTTGTTTAGGGAATGATAACAAAAAAATAATAAAAGTACAGATGAAAATTTTTAGACTGTTTTTAATCTTCTGTTAGTTGAATTTGAATGCCAAACCCTCAGATGTGGTGGATTGACTGTACTATTAGGATGACAACATGGAAGAGAAAACCAAGAACAGAGAAGTGAAGTGACAGACCTAATTTGACTGAATGGGCCTTTAGGACTTCAGCCCAAGGATTCTCGTGTAGTGGTCACAACTTGATGACAGTTCATCTGGAGCATCACAAAGGCAGTTTCTGAGCTACAGCCCGAGTGAAACAAAGCTAGGGGTAAGAAAAGGAGGCCAGAAGGGAAACGGATGTAAGCAGAGCAGATACCAAAACACCCTGAACTCTCACACTGCAAAAGAATGACTCCTGATTCACAAGGGAAGGAAACTTGAAAGGGCAACCCAGAGTCGGGGAGTGTTTAGACAGTGGTGAAACCGGGCTTAGCATACAGGTAGGCTGATTCCAAAGTCCAGAACAATGGAACTCCTATACAGGGCCAAACAGGGAGAGAGGAAGACAAAGAAGGGGATCTTTTGCAAAGAGAGGCTCCATCAAAAATATGGCCTCATTCCCCCAAAGCAACATTTGATGACGTCCCAATCACTTAACCCTGACAAGTAACTCCCAAGCAGGGGATGTGTGCCCATTCTACAGAGAGGCCCAAGCATCTGTAGGCTGCCAGGCACTTGCAGCAATCCCCTCAATCCCTCCCAGCTGTCACACCCAGCTCACCGAAGCATTTAATTTGGTCGAGCTAACGTTGGTTATCAGTTAGAGTGCTTATCAAATGTCAATTAGTACTGTGCCATAATTGATGTCTAATTAACACACTATTGGATGTTGTTGGGTGTCAATTAAATGCCGAAACAGTCCTTTCTGTTTTATTGCACCAAAACAGTAATTGTAAATTTCTCAGTTCAGTAACTTTGGAATTTATTTTGTTGTAAGCCTTTTGGAATATGGAAAGCCAGAGAGAACTGGAGGGTAGATACTTAATTGATGTGTTACTTTAGTATTGATAAAGTACACCTTATGTTCAGTACCTTTGTGAGAAATTTAATCATTAATTTTTGGAAAGGTCGGAGACATTAGGTATGCATATATTTATTCTTACAGAGTTTCATACATGTGCACAATAAAATTTTAGATATCCACATTTCTCTGACTCCTTCTAAATAATCCCCAGGCAAAATTCATCTCTTGGTTTTCTTATATTGACCCACTAAATTCAATTAGTTCTGCCCATGTGTCCTTGGGTGTGGTGCTGTCATTGCAGCAAGGGTAATCTTCGGTGGACACACCCTCACTGAAGAACAATTCTCCCTCACCCAGTACCTATCAACTGTAAATAGCTCCTCAATAAGAAGTAAGGTCTCAAGAGCAATCCAATGCATATCTTTCACACAGATATCCTCTGTCTCCCTGTCATCTGTACCCCAGTAAAGAGGCACAATATCCAAGTGGGGCTGCAAAGCATTCTGAGCAGAGGGGAAGTAGATGGTGAGCTTAGCCTGGAGTAATAGGGACTAGGCCTCGACCTTGGCCTTGAGAAGGTGGGCTACTTAGTGTCTCATAGTTCTAAAGCCCACCTCCTACCCCCACCTCAGGCTGTGACCTCTGGCTCACCTTGCAGCTGCTCCGTCAGGCTCTCCCAGAAGAGGCTTCTGGAGAAGGAATGCAAGGTTGGGGGAGGGCATGGTTTTGCCTCTTCCCTTTGGCCTCTCGCTCTGATGGGCACAACAGAGACACCTGTTTCTCTGCAACTTCAGCTGCATCTAGTCCGCAGTGATTTTCATCTCATGCCCCCTCCCTGTGTCCACCGGAGGACCTCCAGCACCAGCCAGCAACCCAGTCAACATGATGGGGTCCTGCTCTGTGTGGCTCTTTGATTTGCTTTGGGAATTAATTGATCTCGTTCTCTTTCCTTCTTCCTCCAACTGTAGGGAAGTACAGTGCCTACCTTGGAGATGCTTTGGAGTCCTCTGTGTGCCTTTTCAGCTACACAGCTCACAACTTTGTACAGCACGATATATTAAATTCTCTCTGCTCAGATGACTGATGAGATCTGTCTCCGGATGGGATCCTGACTGATGAAGAAGGATGAACGAGACCTAATGGAGGGCTTACCAAGAGCCTCACGAAACACCTGTACCACAAGATGCAGAAATGAGAAGTGGGGGCTGGGGTGGGAAGATGAGCGGGAAATGGAGGTGTTAAATCCCACCTGCGGGGTGGGTAAGAGTCCAAGTCTTTGCTCTCTGTAGGACTTTGGGCAAATTGCTTTCCCTTTCTGTGCCTCAGTTTCTTTGTCTGTAAAACTGGGCTGTTCCAAGTCCTCACCTCGCCAGTTGGTTTTCTATATTTAATGCTATGTGGAAGCAGGCAGCATCATGCCTGGCATGGAAATGCTCAATAGATCTGTCAGTCATCATCATCTCCTCCTGAGATTGACTGAAAGGAGGAGGCTAAGGTATATATCACAAAAAGCCAAATACCGCCTTCCTGTGACCACATGGCCAGCTCCTGTGAGCTGGACTAAGGACAGCCATGGATCTCAGACACCTGACCCAAAATTCACTGAGTGGAGCACAGAGCACAGCAGACCCTAAGAGGCTGCCAGGACAGCTCAGCACATGACTCTTGGCCACGCTCCCCATTCCTCCTGCTGTGGGGGTCTGAGGCTGAGGCTAGTTTTCCACACACGCAGGCTCCTCCAGTTGCATTTCCCCCTAAGAACAGAGTCCAGATGGGCAGGAGTCCCTCCCCATCTCCCAGACCTCTTCATTTGTATCTTACCTATCAAATACCTTGGAAAGAACTGTCAGACGGTGAGAACAGGACTTACGTAGCCAAGACCACTTCAGGAGGCCCCAGCTCAGGAGATCGATCCTTGGAAGCTTTGACAGAAGTGGAGGGAAACTAAGAAAGCAGGGAAAATCAGGGGCCTGTTGTGGAGTGAAGACACCTTGGCAGCCAGGTTAACGTGAGTCTATGGGAGACAATTTAAGCGGTAGCATGTCTGTTATCTGACATGTATAGAAAGCCAGCAACTGCTTCCTCCAGCCCCGCTATGACGGCAGCACGGGCCTGCTGCGGCAGCGCTCTGCCTTTCCAGGCAAGGTTCTCAGCCTTGAGCATATTTGAGCAACGCCTAGGGAGGAAAAGAGCCTGTGGCCTGCCGGGCCTCCAAAGCAGGTGTGTCTGAGGGCAGGGGCAGATTGCTGTTCAGTTATTTGCTTTATTATCCTCACTTGTGAGTCTGTGGAGGGAGCCACGCTTGTGTGGAAGCCAGAGGACAACTTTCTGGAGTCGGTTCTCTCACTCCACTCTAGAGCCAACTCGGGTAGTCAGGGTGTGCGCTGCAACACTTTTACCCACTGAGCCCTTCACTGGCCCAGCTGTGGGTTTTAATCCACTCCAGAATGTACACAATTGTCACGACTGCTAGGTCCTCCACTCGGAACAGTCTAACATGCAGCAGCAGCGAGTGAGGTCCATTGACTGTGGGAGGGGGAGGACGGTGACTTCCAGCTCAGACTAAAGCATTCGTGGTCTCCGTAGGTTCCAAACTTTGAGCTCCCGGCATCTATCCCCTCTAATTGCTCTCCATTTTCTGCAGGCATCTGGCTGCCCTGGAGAGCTTGTTCCCATACATCACAGGGTCCCTCCCAAGGCTTCCAGCTCATGGCATCTGTGGTCTAGAGGTGAGCTTCTCCTGCTACTGTTCTGCAGACTTCACGCTGAGGACTGCCCCGGTTCAGTTAGAAGCAAAGCTCAGGGCTTGTAGTTTAGGGGAGAAGCTCTCCTGGTCAAGTCCTCCGCCTGTAACCTGGTTTGTGCTGAACCAGGCTGTTAGGACTCCCAAAAGTCAGGAACTTGAGGTCTAAGTAGCCACAGCAGACTCTGGGTGCTGGCAGCCTGATCGGGGGCTCCCCCTGCACCCTCACTAGGAAGCAGAGCATACACAACTTCCCCAGCCTGCGACACTACTCCCAGCTCCAGGCACTGCCACTTCTGATGGTGGCTTTTTACATAAACAGAACAAATTCAGTGCTGGGATTTGGACATGATTCTCCAAAGACACATTTTGCTAGATTTTGAATCTGAAATGTCTCCCACAGGCTCATGTTTTGAATGTTAGCCCCCATCTTGTGGTTTGATGCTGAGGGCTATGGTGCTTTAGGAGCCCGGCTGGGGGGAGGTGGTCTCGAGTGGGAGGGATTATCAGGCTCTTGTTTCCGCCTGCATCTGTGTTCTAGTGCGTGGTCCGTGAACTACCTTTGCCTCAGGCTTTCACCACCATGGACAGAGCCATTCTCCATGTTTCCCTGCTATGGGTGACTACATTCCTTCTGAAGCCGTCATCCAGAATCCAGGCATTTGGTTACAGACACAGAGAAAGAACGTGTGTGTGTGTGTGTGTGTGTGTGTGTGTGTGTGTGTGTGTGTGTGTGTGTGTGTGTGTGTGTGTGTGTGTGTGTGTGTGTGTGTGTGTGTTGGAAACTCAGTCCCTATTCTGAAGAGGGACAGGAGCTGCCATCAAAGGGATTAATGTAGTTCTCCCAGGGCATTAGTTCTTCTTCCGAGAGTTGGTTATACAAAGAGTAAGTCTGGACCCCGGTTTCAACTTCACTTTAGCTCTCCCTCTGCCCTTGGATGCCATCTGTCATGAGCCCCTCATGAGAGGCCAAACCAAACTGAGAGTTTCAAAACTGTGAGCTAGACAAATCTCTTTCGAAACAAAGTAGCCAAAAATGGTCTAATATGCCCCATGTACGCTGGCTTCTAGGGTCTTCATTTCTTCACTTCACTAGAGCTGGGATGAATTAGCTCAGAAAAAAAAACCTGTTAGCAGGAGCTCAAAGTGTTACATGTCTAATTATTCTAAAAGTAGCTCAAAGCAGGAACTGTTTAACTTCCTTCTTTGTCTTCCCTTATACCTCACTCAACAGCTGCTGACCATTGATAGGCTACAACCCAGTGCAATCACTTGAAGTTGCTAGTGCCCCCCTCCCGCTCCCCCAGAGCTCAGAGACTTCTAAGGAGAAACCTCACGTAGATGTGGAGCCCTACCTGAGATCTCCCTCCCTTCTGGGAGCTCCATTGGCCTCTGTCCCCTCTCAGGAATGGCCAACGGGTCCAGGGTTTGCACATGCTCCGCAGATGAAAAGAGCCTGCCACCCACACATCCTAGCATGGATTAAAGAGCTGGGGCTGCTGCAGCTTGTGGTCCGTGCCTTCATTATGGTGCTCCCAAACCTCTCCAATCACAGGACCACGCCCCCTGTGGGCTCAGAGACAACATCTGTCAGTGTCAGGGGCTCAGAACCTGTAGAGTTCCAGGGAAGAGGAAATGGTGGCAGAAGCCTTCGTGCAGCGTTGGAACTAGGAACTATCTGGAAAAGCCTTCCCTCTGGACTTGTGATTAATGTTGGTGCATGGCATGAGACCCACATCTAATTGCTCTTGCTTTCTAAATATTTTGCCAGAGGTTGCAACACCATTGCTTATATTATCATTTTCCCGTTGCTTTGAAATGCCATTTTCATTATGAACGAAATTCTGTATTTTAATATTGCCCATGATATACCTACTTCTGTATCAGTAAGCTCACTCTTTCTATGATTGTCCCCTTTTAGCTGTCTTTAATATCCAAAGCAAGCTTAATTTCTGGACACTTTTCATATGAGAATTTTCATACTGTTCTTTTAATGTGAATTGTTTTATTTAGATTTTAGTACTAATTTGAATTGATGCTTTTCCACTAAGTATTTTAGTGTCTCTCTCTCTCTCTCTCTCTCTCTCTCTCTCTCTCTCTCTCTCTCTCTCTCTCTCTGTGTGTGTGTGTGTGTGTGTGTGTGTGTGTGCACATACATGAGCATGTGTGTCCTCAGAGGCTCCCCTGGAGGTGGTTGTGAGCCATCCAACTTGGGAGCTAGGAACCTAACTATGGTTTTCTGGAACAGCAGCAAGTACTCTGAACCATTGAGTCATCTCACCAGTCCCTTATTCAATCTTTTAAAAGAACATAATGGGAATATTTTCCTTGAGCTGGGCTGTTACTGTCATCTGTGATTTTGAATATTCTGGCTACTTTGTCCACTTTTATAAGTAATTGATCCTGAGGTTTCCTGGGTACTGGGAACTTTGGCAGTGTCAGTCCTGACTTGTGTCCTCATAATGCTGAGGTTTGAATTGCAATGAACTGTATGCATATAGTTGAGAGCTGAGCTCTGGCCACTGGTACTGCAGGTGATCCTTGGTAAGTAAAGAAATAGTTAGACTTCACCTCTGCTATCTATCCCTTGGCATCCCAGGAGCTGCCAAGCCCTCCCCCAACACCAAGAATCATGGCAGAACCTGAGCCTGATAGTGATCTCTGATGACTGTTGCCAATGCACTTTGGGAAGGGGGTTTTCCTGGATTTCTTGCTGCCACCCAGAGTGTGGGAGGCCTCCTGAATAGCCACTGGTGGCAACTAGTGAGGCCGGCAGATTGTTCTTCTCAAAGAAACACGGGATGCCCTGGGCTCCTCCATCCTCATGCACTGGCTGTCTCTGCTGCCGCTTCCCTGGCTCACCCACCCACAAGCAGCATCCTTTACAGCAAAAGTGTCCAATCATTTGGCTTCTCTAGGCTACACACAACAAGGGGTTACCTTGGTCCACATACAGCTCCCTTTCTTCTTCCTGGTCCTACCTGGCCATCTGCCCAATCTATTGTCTCAAATTTCCAAGGTCTAGGCCCCAGGCAGACCCTTTCCCAGCAGCCTCTGCATGAATGCAGGCTGCCCATAGAAAAGAGTGGATCAAGCTGCTGGGATCTGGAACTGGGGAGAACACAGGGATAATAACATTGCTGATAAAACACAAAACATCATTTTCTTCCAACCAAATTTGAATGGACATTTCCTTGGGCCACCAGCTCACAAAAAGTGACACAGAGACATTATTAACTATGAAATCTCAGCCAATGGCTTAGGCTTGTTTCTAACTAGCTCTTATAACTTAAATTAACCCATTTCTATTAATTTACTTTCTGTCTCGTGGCTTTATAACTTCATCTCTGGATTGTCCACCCTGCTTCCTCTCCAACTGGCTGGTGACTCTGCATTCTTCCCAGTGTTCTCTCTACCCTGAAAATCCTGTCTAACTAATGACTGTTTAGTTTTTTATTAAACCAATCACAGTGACATATCTTCACATGATGGAAAGGAATATTCCACAGCACAAATCAACAAATTCTCTTGTATTTCCTAACAGTAAGTGTCTTGGTTTGTGCTAACCAAGAACTGAAGTCCCACACTGAGCACAGGAACAGTCACACATGGGCATGGGGAGGCCTTGGTAAGTGTGGTAAGAGTAATATGCCCCTCCTTTGGGGCCAAGCACTTGCTGTGCCTGCTGGCAGTCTCTAGCCTGTGGGAACAGGAGGTATGGCCCGGCAGTCCTGCAGCATCAGGTCTGCAATGTCAAAAGCCAGGGACTCACCCATTCACTGAGGAAGGAAAGGCCAGTGAACAGGGGCTTAGGGTCACTATCTAAATAGCCCTGCTATTATCTGTGTATGTGTCCCTCAAAGGGCAGGGGGGAACCCACAGCCCAGGCCTGACCATCAGAGCTTTGCATTTTGACTAGTACTGAATGAACATGGCCCAGCTGGAGCACAAGTAGGCAATGACTCTTGTACCGGGATTTCTATAAAAGGTCCTTCCTGCTATCCTTGGGGACTAACGAGATGTCACTGCATTGCCAGGGACAGGACCAGGCCATGAAGAGAGCTGGAAATAGACCCAGCCCAGAAGGGAAAGGAATGCAAAGGGGAAAACTGATGAGTCCCTAGGTAAGCCATGTTCCCACCTCAGTCAGTGTCGATGGTTTCTTGCAAGTGTTCTCAAAATCCTCTGGCTTCATCTTTCACCAGCTTAGAGTCAGTTTCCCTATCATGAGCTTTCGATTCCCCATTAGGCCCCATCACACTGGACGACTGTTGTACTCAGGGAGATAATCTGAGGTTTACATATCCCACCATGACCTGTTAAGACTACTCTGGATCTACTGATCCTTTGCTTAGAGGGTCTAATGTATGATAGGAGAAGATGACATTGATTGACTGGCATGGGTCCTCAAAAGAGCATCAGTACTCTTTAACTTAGAAACATACATGTGTATATAA